TGCCAGCTACGGCTGCTGGCTTAAGTACATTTATTTATTTGTGCGGAACTTGCTCTTGACACCTCGGATGCTATTAATAAATTTTTGATCGGTCATTTACTGTTTGTCACACATTTTTCAAATAATCACACCTTATTAATCCATAGTCCACCAGTCAAAGACAGTTGCGATACCGCTTTACGAGATACCACATTTATTATCGGTATAATTGCTTATTCTAAAAATTTTCTTCACATAAGGTGAACTGATTGCGAGTGAACAGTTGTGAGAGTGTTCCCGCTTTTGTACCCAGGCGATAAAAATCTGCATCCACAACTTGTAACACCTTAGCCATTAATGTGCGGGCATCAATTTTACTTCGATCGACTTCGGGAATTTTAATTTTGACAGTTTGTCCAATTAGTACAATTGGCATTTTCTTGTTTGACATTTGCAACATTTGTCTTGCTTGTTTCTGTAGGCCGATGAGTGATTCTTCTCGATGTTGCTTAATTTTTTGTGTCCGTGCTGGTATTTCATTTTCTACGTCCCTTGTTTCTACATATTGAGTTTCTCCTTGTGTCTCTACAACGTCATCGATTTCAACTTCTTCATCTATCTCACCAACTTCAACTATATTTGCCTTTGGTTCGGTAAGTGCTGCCTCTAAATCCTCTTCTGTTTGCAGTCCTGGTAGTACATTTTTTGGAATAATTGAATTTGCTAATCCCATTTTCATTTTATTCCCAAACATTGCTTCATATGGGGAGCGTTTGATTCCTGAAAATGTGGTAATTAAGTGTATACTTTATTTAAAACTTTAATTTTACTATCAGATTATTACATTTTACGTGATTTCGTAAATGTTTAAATTTCAAACGCTCATAAAAATTTCCAAGGCTGGGCATTAACAAGTTAATAAGTTAAAAATTAAGTTAGTCAATAAGTCAGTTTTTAGGCACTTTAACTATTATCTGGATGACTATTGTTTTTTTTTTTTTTTTGTTAGAAATGAAAAAAATTAAATGAAACACATACTATATAGAAATACTGTATCTTGTATGAAGTACAAGCATTATAGTATATAATTTATTTGTTTATTGATAAGAAATAAAATATGCCAACAAATAAAAAAAAGTTACTTTTTTTTAACTTCAAAAAAGTTTTAAAAAATGTCTATTACTTAACTGAGATAACCAAAAATTGTATTAACTTTTAACTTTTAACTTTATCTTATTGATGCATATTAAGTTAACTTAACTGAGTTAAAAAAAATCATTAACTTGACCAGCCTTGAAAATTTCTGATTTTAGTTCGGTAGAGTTTTTTTTACAGATATTCGATGAAAAACTTATGGAAAATCTGGTACCAAATTTTCAAAACTTAGTTATAAAAGAAAACAATTTTACGATTTTTCAACCACAAAATTACTTGCAAATTTTCGCAATTTTGACATATTTCGTATAAATTCGAACTTTAAGCACTTATAAAAAAAATTGTAATTTTCCATCGGAAACCACCCCCAAAGTTTGAAATTGAAGCATTATTTCGACTAGTTATGCTGTACACAGACACACAAAAAAAAACACATCATTGTAAAATCAATACATTCATCACTCCGTTCATAATCTAAAACTTATTAGTTTTATCTTGTAAAATACCAATTTCAATACAATACGTACCAGAATGAAAAGCTCCGTTCTTCATAGCTTGTACGAATCTTAAGGACTCTGACCATTTCGTTGTTTTATTTGTCTCCATCCACGTCGCAATCATACTTTCTATATCCTGATTGGCACGCTCCACAGAACCTTGAGACTGACTGTGGCGAGCTTTTCCGTGAACTATTTTCACTTCAGACCACAAACTACACAAATTTGTAATAACAGCATTTACGAATTCTCTCCCATTATCTGAGTGGAGTATATTTGGTGCACCGAAAAGAGTGAAAATATCGAGTAAGTTATACGCAACTTCTTCAGCCCGTTTAAATTTAAGTGGTCGTAAAATAACAAATTTAGTCAAGTGATCTTGATAGACCATTATAAATTTATAATTGTTATCAGGATTTGCCTGCATATCAATCAGGTCTACTTGGCAGCGCGAATTCATTTCGGTATGTATAATAGGTTTAACAGTTAGACCTTTTTTGGGCATACTGTGTTTTTTTTGACATGGCTCACATAGTTTTAAATAAATATTTATAGCCTCAATATTAACATTTTTGTATTTACTATTAACAGCATACACAATACGATTTCTACCTCCGTGACCTGTTGCAATATGTGCTTCATGAATAATTTCATACAAATCATCATAGCGAACATAGTAACGCATTTCTTCGGAGGCACCATTCATCGGAACAATCAGTTTTTCTTCTCCGCCAATATTAACAATATCAAACCGTTTAAGTCGTCGATAGTGAATTGATTTTTTAACTTTGACCAATTTTGATTCTTTCACTTCGTTCAATAATACATTATACTTTTCATTAGTTATGTATAGAGTGTTTTTATTATTTTTTGCTTCAACAACACCATTTAAAAGTTCATAAAACCGTATTTTAAGTGACATATTGAAAATCGTATACTTTTCGCGACAATTGTAAAACGAATACTGCACACAATATTATTTTCAATATGCCTATTCAATCGATAATCAATCTATTATCAAACCTGTTCCGTATCATAAACTAAATTGTATTGTATGTGCAACATAGTATAAAGTAGAAACAACTTTTATCATATACCTAGAGTACCTTTTTGGCTAATTTATTGATTGTATTGTGATTCTATTGATAGTGATTTGATTGTATGAGTAGGTACACGTGTCAAGGTCTTCCAGTATCATGATGTATATGAAAATCGAAATGAAAATTCCCAAAATTCATACTTAAATAATAATAATTATGATAGTCAAGATAAAACCCGATCGCAATTTAGTTGTCATAATATATATTATAAAAATAAAATAACTTTGGTAAAAATGCCGATCCAAAAATTTATTATGCAACTCGAGATGTCACAGCAGTCAAGCCTGCACAAATAAATAATTTAATAATACAATTAATTTAATTATAATACAAATAATATACTAGCAATAAATGTACTTAGTAAATTTAATTTGTCATTTTTTGCATTAATACTTAATAATAATAATAATATAATATACTAACTTACTAATATATTAGTCATTGATATAGTACCTACCTAATATACTTAAATAATAATAATAATTAATAACTTTGGTAAAAATGTTTGGACTTTACTAACATGTGTTTTATCCTAGATTTACCAAATCTGTTTGTAAAAGTCCGAACTACAAAATCATTCGGGTTTGACCAAACGATGTAGTACATCCTAGGTTTTACCGAAATCAATTGGTAAATGTCCGAAATTCGGACATTTACCAACAGTAGTCGGCGAAACCTAGGATTTACCGGTAAATTTGGTTTAACCGGTATTCGTACTTTAACCGTAACATATATATACCTGCATTTATTATCATTCTGCATACCCAGTGAAAAATTCCTGCATACACCTATAATATAATATACATGCTCGTGTTGAGAAATAGGAAGTGGGTACACGCATAAGCGCCAACTACTCGGGGGCAATTGCCTCCGTACTTTGATTTTAACGGAGGCATCGACCCCATTTTTTGATTTGAAAGGGCGGTAAAACGTAAAAACAGCTCTTCGTTTTTCTGTAAAAGAATTATTTGGTCAAAAGTGCCATGACGCAGACCAGGTAAAATGATCTGACACTTCTAAATTGTCATAACACAGTAGTAGCAGAATCTTTAGACCTAAGCCAAATAGGAAATATGTTCATAAATAAGTGCATGACAAGAAGAAATACTTTTAAATTGAAATAAATATAATTTTAGATAATAATAATTTCATCAATAAAATGTAATGTACCGAATGTAATTAAGTAAGAAGAAAAAATTGTATTTTCATGTAATTTTTATTTTATTTTTTTATTTATATCTGAAGCCAGTAAAGAGAATTATAATTATATTCATGAACAGTAGTATATTTATTTAATTTGCCTAAAATAAAAAAATAGCACTAAATTTGTGCTAAAATATAAAAGTCAGCGCCTATGGGTACAGGCCATGTACCCTCCACTACATATATGTAAACAATAATAATCATAAAAATAATAATAAACAATAATTTAATAATAAACAACAATAATTTGGCAAACTGACTAATAGATGTATATTAACAGGATATGACAGGAATTAACTTGTCTACACTAGTTTTAATATAATATTCCAAATAAATCAAAAATGTAGGTAATAGTTTCATTCTTATTCGAATTATTTCATGTAGTGTTGACATTTGGTCTTGATATTGTTTTGTAATTATTTTTTTGGTTTAACTATTTAAATATATAAAAAAATATGAACCGTAGAACAAGTAATATATGGTCACATTTTACGGCGATTGAAAATACTACATTTGCCAAGTGTAATATTTGTAAAAAAAAATATTCATACAAATCAAGTGTAACAAATTTAAAGACTCACATGAATTCCAGTCATTGGATACAAATTTATTCATCAAAAGAGGTATAAATAGAGGGATATAATATAATATGATATAATTATGTTAGGGAAAATACACATTTTTTAAATAAACAGCAATTTTATTTAATTAAAAAAAATACTTAAAAATAAAAAGTAAATAGGATTTAATTTAATTTATTTAAAACATTTTTCCCCAGTCAAATTTGGTTAATGAAGAAATCGAAGATAATCCCGGTCAAATAAATGAAATAAGTATAGATCAGATTCCCTCAACTTCTCATGATATTCCAGCTCCACTACCTCTTACTCAAATAACACCAGTTCAAAACGCAACACTCAGTAAAAATTTAAATGTTCATAAAAGAAAACAAACCCAAATGTCGGCATACACTCCAAGAAAAATGACATTTGATGTGCAACAAAAAATTGATAATGCTCTTTTGAAAATGTTCACTAAAGATTTGTAACCCTTTAAAATTGTTGAAGATGAAGGTTTTAAAAATTTTGTACATTTATTAAATCCTTCTTATAAAATACCAAATCGCCATACATTATCAAAAGTTAGTATACCTGCCCTGTATCAAAAATGCCTTATTGAAACTAAAGAAATGATTGCGACTGAAGCTATAAGCGGTTGTATAACAACTGACTGTTGGACGTCACAAAACAATGCTGGTTATATCGCAATAACATTTCATTTTATAGACAATAATTTTCTTTTAAAATCTGTTTTGTTAAGCTGTCATAAGTTTTCGGACAGTCATACTAGTCAAAATTTAAGTCAGAAAATTAAATCAATAATTCAAGAATGGAATTTAGAAAACAAAATCATTTTTGCTGTTTCGGACAATGCAAGTAACATACAATTGGCTTTAAAAATATTGCAAATAAAACATTTTGGATGTTTCGCACATACACTTAATTTAATAGTTCAAGGAGCCTTAGCATTAGAATCAGATCTTCTTGATAAAATTAAAACTATAGTAACTTTTTTCCTCAAAAGTACATCAGCTAACAAAAAATTTCAAATTTATCAAACAAGTAATGGAGTTAAGGTACCTGTTCGATCCGTTTGTCCATTGTACCCACTTCACGTTGCCCCGGGTCTTGGACATATGATCCACGACCGCGCTCGGTCACTCTTAATGTTGGTGACACTGTTGCGCCCGCCGCCCTGGTCCGGGTAATGATGCGGACGCCGCCGCCAACGGCTCTTTTGTTCGTTCGTGCTGCTCCGTTGTCCGTTATTCACGTGCTCTCGTCCTTTTGCAAATCGCATAATTTGTTGTGCTCCCAATATTAATGGTGATTACATGCTCCGATCTCACCGTTCGCTCGTGCTCAGCCATTTAATCTTGTATACGTGTACGTGATCCGTATTCGCGTGTACTGCAGTTCGGCGCTCTCCGACATCCACGTGGTTCCAGCTCCGGAGTTTTCCACAGTCCAATAAGGAAGGCAGACCAACTTCCGTTCGTTGAAGATCGTCATCGAAGCCAGCTCTCTTCAGGGTGGTGTTCCCCATTCCCCCCATATATATACATTGTTAATGGTGCTCTCCTTATATTATTTGTTGTAATATATATATATTCCGTTTAATTATTATTATTTGTTCACTTAATTAATTACTTCGTAAGCTCCCCCCATCACTTCCAAGGTTCCGGAGGACCGTGTGATCAGTGACAACCTCGATAGGTGTTAGAGAGGCTCACTGACGCAACAGTACCAATAAAGCTATTACAAGATGTAAGTACCCGTTGGAATTCTTCATTGTACATGCTCGACCGTTTCGTTGTACTTGAAGATTGTATTCGGGGAACTCTTGGACTTCTTGACAACTCACCACCAGGATTAACTTCAAGCGAGTGGAAAATAATTAAAGAGCTTGTCTTAGTTTTACGCCCGTTTGAAGAAGCAACTAAAGCTGTCAGTGGTAATAATTATATAACAGCTTCTATGGTTATTGTAATAGCACAAGGGCTTATAAATGTTTGTGATCAACTATTAAAACAAAATTATACCTCAAGGACCAACGCAGTAATAAATAAACTTTTAAATGGCATGAAAGAGAGAAATCGGTGGGGAAATATTGAGAATAGCAAGACTTTAGCTCGTTGTACGTTTCTCGATCCCCGGTTTAAAGATGTTCCATTAAGTCAATCAATACAGCAGTCAACTAAAACTGACATCATCCAATTAACTGCAGCCATCATATCAAGCGAATCATTAGAAGAGCAACAAATTCCAAATACGTCGACAGCAACAGAAACAGCAACTGAAAATAAAAGTGGTTTTTCAATTTGGTGTACTATAGATACTCAAGTGGCCCAAATGAAACCTACTGGCACTAATACATCTAGATCAAAAATAGAAGTGCAACGCTATTTGGAAGACTCTCTACAGCAAAGAAATACTGATGCTTTAAAATGGTGGCAAGAAAATAAACATAACTATCCATATTTGAGCCAGTTAGCAAGAAAACATCTTTGTTGTCCAGGAACGTCGGTGCCTTCGGAACGTATCTTCTCACAAGCAGGGCTACTGATTAGTGACCGCCGCAGTAGATTAAGTAGTAAAAAAGTAGAAATGCTACTTTTTTTAAATCAAAATATGTAGTTGATTTTTTTCTATCTATAAAAAATGTAAATCATAGATACAAATAAGCCATTAATATCAAATATCATAAAAATTAATAATTTTCATGTCACTACTTTAAATAATTAAGAAATATTTTACATTTAAAATTTCACAGAAAAAAGTTAACACGTTTTTTTATATATTTATTTGATTTACCTCATTATCAAACGTAAAATAACTGCCATTTGCAAATAAATTGCTAACAATTAACAAATTAACAAAAACAGGTAAGTATTTACAATTTGTACAAATAGAAAAATTTTTGTATTAATTATTATCTTTGTCATGCAAACAATAATGGGTAAAAATTTAAATGTGAATAATGAAAATGTAACACTATAACGACACAAACCTATATTTTATTATTTATTGATAAGTAAATGTTGATAACAAAATAAAATATTAAATATGGCTATGATATTAACCATTTAGCATGTTACCACCATTGAACTATATGATAACATATGTTATAGTTCATCGATTTTTATATGATAAACAATAGCTGCTATTGATCACAGTGTAGGCTACAATAAAATAAAATTATCTTAGAAATAGCAGTCACTGCTATTCTGTATTCTGATTAACAACTTGTTATTGCTATTGAGAAATAGCAGTGCTATTTTCACTGCTACTGCTATTTAGTACCATCACTAGTAGGTAAGCAAAGCGGAAGGTGTCCAGATTCAAGGTGGTGGTACCACTAACATATTATGGTGAAGAAGAGCGAGGGTACAATAGTTGTTCTAAAAATAGAATATATGTTCAAAAGAAATGAAAATGAAAATGAAAATAGAATTCCTTGTGTTATTATTGATTAAAATATATTATTTCATAATTCGTTATCGCATATCCGATATCGTTAAATATCCAATTGACTGCTGTTTACTGTTTAGTCGTTTCTTGTTTGT